GGGAGGCACGGTGTGGGTCGGGGCGCTGCCAGGGCTGGGCGCTGCCGGGGCTGGGTGCCAGCGGCACGGCTCAGGGACACGTGGTGCCTGCACAGCCTCGCCGGGCACGGCAGCGGCGTGTCCCCGCACCGCAGCATGGGGCATGAGTGTTGGAGAGCCAGGAGCAGGGCTGAGGATGGCTGTGTTGACCCCCGTGCACCATGGGATGGGTCAGTCCCTGACTGCCTCCCCCCATGCACGTTGGGATGGGTCAGTCCATGACTGCCTCCACCCTCCTGTGAACCAAGAGATGGATCAGTCATGACTGCCTCCACCCACACTCTGTGGGATGGATCAGTCTATGACTGTCCCCCCCTCCTATGGACCAGGAGATGGATCAATCCATGACTTCCCCCCCCCATGGACCAGGAGATGGATCAGTCCATGACTGTCCCCTCCTCGTGTGAACCAGGAGATGGATCAATCCATTACTGCCCCCTCAGTGGACCAGGAGATGGATCAGTCCATGACTGTCCCCTCCTGTAGACCATGAAATGGATCAGTCCATGACTGTCCCCTCCTCATGTGAACCAGGAGATGGATCAGTCCATGACTCTCCCCCCCTCCTGTGGACCATGAGATGGTTCAGTCCATGATTGTCCCCTCCTTGTGTGAACCAGGAGATGGATCAGTCCATGACTGTCCCCCCCCTCCTGAGGACCATGAGATGGATCAGTCCATGACTGTCCCCCCCTCCTGTGGACCATGAGATGGATCAGTCCATGACTGTCCCCCCCTCCTGTGGACCATGAGATGGATCAGTCCATGACTGTCCCCCCCTCCTGTGGACCATGAGATGGATCAGTCCATGACTGTCCCCCCCTCCTGTGGACCATGAGATGGATCAGTCCATGACTGTCCCCCCCTCCTGTGGACCATGAGATGGATCAGTCCATGACTGTCCCCCCCTCCTGTGGACCATGAGATGGATCAGTCCATGACTGTCCCCCCTCCTCCTGTGGACCATGAGATGGATCAGTGCATGACTGTCCCCCCATCGTGTGAACCAGGAGATGGATCAGTCCATGACTGTCCCCCCTCCTCCTGTGGACCATGAGATGGATCAGTGCATGACTGTCCCCCCATCGTGTGAACCAGGAGATGGATCAGCCCATGATGGGTTGATCATGTGGGTCAGCCCGTGCCCCCCCCCCCGCTGGCCGTGGGCCGTTCCAGCGGTGTGGGGGAGCCCCGAGTGTGCGCATGGTTTGTGCCAGCACGGTGGTGTCTCTTTTTGTCTCCCCCCACGAATGAGAATGGAATGTTCCTCCCCCCCCCAAACTGGGCAGATGATGGGTGGGCTTGGGCGGAACCAAACCCTGGCGCGGGGGTGTCTGCCCCATGCCCTTCTCCACCCCACTGGGCCTTTTGCACCCACAGCCAGGGCTTTGGCTTGGAAAAAGAGGGCCTGGAACGGCCCAGGAGGGCGAGCGGGTGCCTTGTGTGGCCAAGGCGGGACCCTCATCCCGTCGGCCTCGTGTGCCCGGGGGACCCTCAGCCCTCGGCCCCATGCGCTCGGGGGCCTGGCCCCTGGGCCTCGCCGCCTTCCCTCCCTTGCCAACACGGCTGCCAGCGCCGAAGCCACCCCGCCCGCCCTCTGAACC